AAATAAAATAGCCCATTACGATTTACCAAAAGACTAGGGAAAACTTGAGCTTTAATTCCGAAAAGGCAGAGGTCTGTTTGTAACATGGTACCTGGCGAGCAGGCGCTGAGAAGGTGTTTCCGTTTTGTCCCACCACGGAGAGGGGGATCATTCCCACCATTCCTTGCAAGACCGGCTGCACCGGGGACGTGATAATAATCGCAGAACCTAAAAAACATCAAGGATTAAAACTATACAGAAAAAAAACCTCATTGAGCAGAAAAGCTTGAAGACAGGATGCCTTAAAAGTACACCTGGTCAAAACCCGTGGCAGGAAAAGGCCTGGCTTTTAAAGAAAAGTGGGTCCTCACCACCCATTATTATCACCGAACAAGGCAAATACAAGTGTTCTGTCTAGTTTTAAATGGATTCTTAGACTTTGTTTTCCTCCCTAAAAACGGGGCATAATGTACATATGTTAGGGCTTGAAGTTAGATATTAAAGAATTAGAATTAGTTAGAATTAAAGTATTAAGAAAAGAGTAAAATTAAATAGCTTGTCTTGGGGCTTAGCAAACAAACTATTATTTGCATTTTACTCGCTACAATTGCCTGCCCTCCCCTCAAAAAAAGGTTTGTCCAATCTCCTGGTGCATCTGCACCACCTTCCTCAGATGAGGAAAAAACAAGTTGAAAAAGGCGAGTTTTGTCCCAGTGTAGGTATCTAATGTATACTCCTAGTTGGTAAAAGGTGTCAAATATTAGACTCTATCTAATTAGTCAGACTGTAGTGAATCAATGAGCTTGAGATCAGCTGAGAAAAATAAAAAAAAAAATAAAATATCATAAATAAAACATTTGTATATGTCATTCTGCCTATTCTGCTTTTTCTCTTAGCAATAAAAATCTGACTATTTCAGTTACATTAATTATAAAAAAAAATCTCTCTTTTTCCATTAAAGTGGGATCAGATTTGGTCATGTATTGGTCATTAAAATCAGCATTCCTAAAATGCATATTGCCAGATAAAGAAAGATGTACACAGTAGTGCCCAACATCCTGCTGCTTCACTTCACTATTTAAGGCAAAAGTTACCTGAAATACTGTCATCTCGTGCAGTGCAAGTCAGGACATCCTTTAATTTACCACTGCTAAAATGCAATGTGAGCTTCTAAACTATGAAGCTACTTTCCTCAAAGCAACATAATCCAGGGCTCGTGTAACTTTTATTTGGTTCTTAGTAAGAAATAATATATTTACTAAACATACAATTCCTGACTAGTCAAGTGGGCAGGTAGAGCACCAACCAAAAACAAGAAAGATTTCCTTTTAGTGCACTTACAAAATGAGTGAAAAGAGCTCTGTGTGTGGGTGTATAGATATATATGTGCATATATAGGTACATACGCATGCAACAAGCCTTCCTTGCCTTTCCCAAGCTGCATTACCTTGTGGGAAGTTCGGGGAGACGGCCTGGCTCGCTGCAAAGGTGTTGCTGGGCCTGGGAGGAGTCCGCAGGGGCTGCACGGCCGGGGCCTGGGCAGCCAGGGGCAGGGAGCTGCTGGGCAGCACCACCACGTTCGAGGGGGCCCCTGCGGAGCCCAGGGCGGCTGGGTCGCCCACGCACGTGGCGATGTAGAGGTTGTTGGAGCTGCCGAAGGCTGTGCTTGTTGCTGGCATGAGCTGTATAAATCCCCCTTCCTTGGAAAGGTTAGTTGCTCCAGCAACTGAAAGAGCAGTGCAGTCTTCGCTGTGAGTGTTAACGGAGCTGACAACGGGCTCCTTTGGTCTGAGGACGAGGAGATTCTGCTCTGCCAACGCTGAATCCGTGTTTTTTTCAGTTTCTTCTGAAGCTGGGCATTTGGGCAGGCCTGGAGTTTTGGTGGGGGATTTGGCTGGAGAAGACAGTATGATAGTTGGCAAATTTTCTCCCGTGATGCTGGAAACAGCATTATTTAACTCGGTATCTGATGAAATAAATGGATCATCGCTGATGATGATTTTGAGGGACATGATATTTGAAGAATCAACATCCATTGGCTGACTACCAGCAGACACACCACGGAGGCTTTTGGCCTCGGTGGCAGCCTCGTCTGCTGAGGATGTGGTTTCTGGCAGAGGTGAATGGCACATTTCATGTGTAGTGAGACTATTTTCAGCAGGTACCACAGAAATTTCTGTGCATGCACCACCAGAAGGGAAAAACATATCATCAGCATCTACTTTTGCAGAAGATGATGGTTCCTGCATTTCCATTTGAGCTCCCTCTGAATTTGATAGCCCTGCAGGGAGGTTAAAGTCCTTTCTACAAGGCTTATTGAGTGTATGCTGATCATTTGAATAAGGTTTGTTAGAAGCTTCCGTCACTTCAAGCTGCAATTCTGCTTTGTCAAGCTCAGGAATTTTCACAGCAGATCTAACAGCACAGTCTGACTGCTGGCCCTGGTCCTCACAGCTGGGGAGGCAACTACAACTCTGCTGTAAAACCCCAGGCAGCGTCGCTGCTCCACTCGCGGCAGCCTGCTCTTTTCCCAGTTCTGCTGGCTGCCTAGGAACAGAGGAATTACTTTTTCTTAGCATTGTGCTGTGTCCAGGGCTCCCATCAGAAGAGCTTTTCCCATGTGGCTTTTCAGACAGTGATGTATCTGGCAGTAAGTGACACTTGCTTCCAGACGGGGCTCTGTTCCCAGTGGCTGCAGCACCATTTGCCAACGAAACCAAAGAAATCTGTGAACTACCAGAATCAACGTATTCCAAACCAGGACTACTCGGAGCACTGTGACTTAGCGAGTCCCCTCCAGATTCCACAGCTCCTTCACTTGTCGATACTAACGCAGCAGCCTCCTTGTTATCATAAGCATCTCCACAGTGTTCACTACATTCGCTGTCAGGACTCTGTCTTTTGCTAGGCTCAGTCAAACTGGGCATAGAGTCAAAAGTGATTTCAAGCTCTCCAATTTGATCATTGGTAACTGCTTTAAGCATTTCAGTCTGCTTTTTTGGTCTGCAATTTCCATGCAACTGTTCGTTGGCTGTATTTTTCTTAGTCATATCATCATTAATACTATTCTTCAAGGCACATGATGCTTCTCCTAAATGAAAATCTTTACAGGATAGAGATTCTCTAGAATTATCACCTGTAAAATAGAGACAAATGTTTTCCATAATTATTCCAGCAGATGATTCTATCACAGGGTTTTTACACTTGCAAATGACTTAATGGAAAACCATTTCACACAACCCTAAATGGGAACAGCACCACTCACCTAATCCTTATTTGCAAGCCGAGTGGCAAGCATCCCGCTAGCCCAGACAGATCAGCTGAGTTTGTACATAGATAAATATATAGGTGATAAGTAAATGAGTCAAGTCACTAAATCGGATTTCCAGAAGCTCAAAAGACCATCTCAGGATAAAAACCTCTTGCTCTATTTTCACAGACTTTCTCCAAATATCTGCTACTGCTATTGTCAAGAACGGGACACACATAGACGAGGCATTTTGTCTAACCCAGGTAGACTCTTTGTGTACTAATTAACCAATACGTTACAGAACAGAGAGATTACAGAGGTTTGATGAAAAGTCTTTAGAGTAATTTCACTTGTTTCACACTGCAAATTGCAGAGTATTAGTTTGGAGTGAGTAAAAAGGCTCTGCAGACATTCAGATTTCATTCAGGAGCCCATCAAGCACAACTTAGAAGTACCCATGGGGACTTCTTTTAAGTTTAATGGTCAAACTTCCTAACAGACCAAGTGCAACTGTACACCAGTGAAATGCAAACTTCAGATTGCGTATAATCTGAAACTGTGAAATATTTGATACATAGAATCAACCTGTCTGGAAGTATTTTCATAATAACAATGAACATACTGGATTTTAGGGGAAATTTTAGGAGGAAGGGGGATTTTAGAAGACTTTAAGGGAACAAAAGATCTCAGGGGAAAAAAAAAAAAAAAAAGCTACACTTACTAGTTTCTTCTGTTCCTAAAGAACTTTCAAGTGTTTCCAGGTTATTTTCATCCACCAGGATTGTACTTTCTACTGCAGTCTGACCAGAAATACCAGCAGGTAAATTCTTGTTTACCTTGTTCTTTCCTATTTTCAAAATTAAGCACCAAAAATGTTTAAATATATTATTTTATACACAAAAGTAATCAATACATTTTTTAATGAAGCATTCGGATTTCAAAGTCAAGAAATACCATCCCAAGCTGAGCAAACAGTAACTTATTATGGATCTATTACAGATCCAGCAGCAGCATAGAAACATCTTTACCTTGTTTTTGAAGAGATCCTTAATTACTAATGTAGAAAAACTTTCAATGACAAATATAAACAAATAAATAGGAACTATCATCTTTTGGGCTGGGAGAATCTAAAATAGCAATAGAACAATCACCGTAAGCCAGCACAAAACCTGAATTTCAGCTATGTGAAAATGCTCTGCTTCATTTCCACAAATAAGGATATGTAAGTACTTCATTCTGATTGAGGAACACAGATGCCATATAGTCTATTTCTCCTGCAAGAGAAATCTGCTGAATTACTTTGCTCAAGAAATATTTGAAAAATCCCTCATCATTCATGATGCTTTTCATAATGGCACAACTGAGAATAATATACCTACCATAATCAAACAAGTCAAACAGTGCCTGAAAAGCTGGATCTGATTCTGTCTGTTCTAAAATGTCCTGTATAGCCTCTTCTGACATATGAATTTCACCCTGAAAGACGACAGACAGAACTGTTTGCTCAATCAAAACCAGAAAAAAAGCCCACTCCCAAACAGGAATTCCTTTATTTTCAATTTGTTTTTAGTTCTATTACTTCTGCTCAGTAGTCAAACACAGACAAGTGTTGGAGTATTTCTCCTGCTAATTGCCTTTTTAAAAAAAAAAAAACTAGTGATTAAAACGCTTAAAAAAACAAAGCAAAAAGAACAACCCCAAACAATGATTCTCATCAGACATTATGCCCTGCAAGTGCTCATTAGAGTATTCTCCACATAGCACTGACTAAATCTCAGGCTATGCTGGAAGCTTACACAGATGGTGTGAACAATACGAACCCACACTAGTAAGATTAAAAAATAATAATAATAATACTCAAATTAACCAGGCTTCTTGTTTTTTGCATATAAATCATTAATGATAATTGACTAAATAAGCTTCTGGAAGACAATGTTAAACAAAAGGAAGTTTTGTTATTTCCTTTACCCATTCAACATTCTATAATCTAACCTCCAGCTCATTTTCTGTGACGGCAGGGATGAGATGGGGCTACAGAGGCTTCTGCTCTTTGGGCCCCTGATCCCAGCTCGCTTGCTTGGCAGTGGCCTCGCAGTGGCCGGGGCAAATGGAGCAGAGCAGTCAGTACAAACTGAAGGATTCAGGCACAAAGTCTCCCCCAGCCTACAGGGACCTTCTCAGCACTCCCCCATATTATTGTTTCAAGTGCGAACAAAAAAGTTTCAGAAACTACTATGTGCTTTTCTTCTTGGGGCATCTGGGTACACTTCTGCACCTGACTGGTGGGAAGGTGACCTGAGGTTGCTCTCCTGGAACATGTTATCCACAAAAAATCCAAGATCATAAGGAGGTAGGGAGACCGATAGATTGACAATACATTTTTGATGTGAAAACTACATGCGCCAAGATAGCAACCTAAAGCTATTCTAAGCCATACGTAATTATTAGCTCCTTAAAGAATTATTCACTTGCAGCTTGGGGTTACATTACCACAACTAGGTCTAGGATGTTTTATAAATTAACATTCACAAGATTTTTCACTTGTCATGACAATTACCAATTACTTGGGTTAATGATTATTAAAATCCATACAGTCCCCGTGGTTTGCTTTTGGATTATTTTATCTGAGCAACTAAATTAAGAAGCTGTTTTGAATTTGTTTTACTTGGTGGGGGGAGGGGGGGAAGGCACACAACTTTTCAACCGTGGATTTCAACAAACAGCTACTGAATGGAAATCACCAAACAACGGAATGATAGCCTTTAAAAACTAAACACCTCTACTCGCTGAGGATGAGGAACTGTCTGAAGTCTCCTTTTCTTTTCATGAGGATTAAGAAGATAATAGCTTCCCTCATTAAGTGCCTCTCTAATTGTCAGCTCGAGGGAAAACATTAAAGCACAAGTTTGTGGAAGCAGAACATATTTATCCTTCATCTCCAAAAAAAAAAAAAAAAAAAAAAAAAAAGAAAAGAAATTATTGAGTTTTATTTAGGTTTCAAAGGTAGTATGTCTTGCTGCTTTGGATGCCCACAGTGGAACTTCCAGCAAATCTGAAAAATCAGACCCAGCTAAACACATAAGGAGGCTGCAATATACAAGGAGGCTACAAGATTGCAAGATATTTTAAATCCCTCCTTCTTTTATCTAGAAAACTTCCTCACTATGAGTCTATTGATCAGGATCTCAAGTCAGAAGCTTCTGAAATTACCAAAAGTGCCAAAGTGAGGCACTTGCAGTGAGGTGCAGTGAGGTGATGGAGGCAGGTGATGGAGGTGGGTCTGGGGGCAACCTCCCTGCTAACCATTGCTGCCAGATGTGGTCCTGCTCCCCTGCCTTTGGACCTTGCTGGTGCCCTGTTCAGGCACTGGTAAGAAATTCACAGTGCTCAAGTGACTCAAACTGTCTCCAACAAAACACAAGCTTCCTGGCAGCTCAGTGGCTTGAGCCAGTCCACCACCACACGGCTATGTAAGAGTTAGCACTTACGGAAGGGAAGTGGAGGACGGCCCCTTGGGCAGAAACCAGCAAAGAATAGACCTCACATCAAAAAAGAGGCTGGGAGAAATAGTGCAATGCAGGTATCAGGCAACAGATGGTCAGCACAGTCCCCATAAATGATCATGTACACATGGCTGGCTACCAAATGTGTAAACAGGGCAATGCACACCTACCTGCAGCCCAAGGATTTCATCAATCGAAGTCTCCTGTTCTGTGGGGCCACTGTCCGTCTGCTTCGGGGCCTGCGTGACATTGCCATCACTAGAACACAGTTGTTAGTTCAGAATTCAGAAATAAATCCAGTAAAAAAATAACAAAAATACCTGTCAATTCCATAAGTATGCTTATTACCTGCTCAAGATTTTGTTAATGTTCTCAGCAAGCTTCTCCTGAAGAGATTTGTTGCTCAGGATTTTTTCTCTGGCATTTTCAATAACCAGTTGCTGGAATGCAAAGTTTAAGAGTGGTCATGGTTATGTATCTACTTTTATCATCACTACAAAAGGAACAAAAATTTTCAACTTACTAGTAAAAATCATTTAATCATAGACAACACTTTGCAGTAACAGCAAATATTTTAACTATTTAATGTGATGCTAGTGCAAACTTATTCCCCTTCTGGAAAAAAAAAAAAAAAAAAAAAAAAACCTGCTACCTCTTCACCTGTCTAGCATCCTTACTGTCCCCTGAAACACCCAATTTGTGACTGCAGGATATCTCTGTGAAAAGCAGTGCTAAACACTCCTATACTCAAAAACTCTTCTGAAGCATGGCAAGGCTTACTTTATTTTCTGCTTTTCTTCATCCAAAAAAAAAAAATTACTGTGTTCTGATATAACAAAGTCAAAAAAAATTAAAAAAGTCTATGCAACTGAGTAGACACACAGAACCAGATTAAATATTTAAAAAGCTTCTGAACTTTTTCTAAACTCTTTAAACTCTGTGTAATACTTATGATGAACAATACAGAGAACTAGTTTTCCTTAATTTGAATTAGTTCCTTAAAACTAGCTACCCCCCATAAGTGTATACTTACCGGGAAGTTACCATCTATGAATTCTTGGAGTGGCTCACTTTCTTTTTCTACTATTATTTCCTCAGTGTCTTGAAGATTTCTGCTTGTTGAAAGAGGTGCAGGTGTTCCTGGGTTCTTCCTCTTCTGCGATTCACTAAAGCATTTCAGGAAATTTATGATATATTTTGTGAGAACATAGCAAACAACAGAAGCAAAGGTGACTAAATTAAATCTTTCCTCCCCCTCCTCAGCAAGTGAAACAAAAAAAAACAGAAAACAAACTACATATTGGAAAAAACAATAAAATCTAACATTCATTTAATTATCTTGCACGCATGTGCTACATATAAGGTAAAATTAAATATACTGAGATACTAGATAAAAAAACACAATGGCAAACTGAATTTCATGCCCACAATTCAAAGCAATGCATTTTGAAAAGAAAAATATTAACTGTTCGTACACATTCTAATTGACTTTCTCAGGAAAGGAAATCTGGCATTGTCATTGGAAACAAAAATCTCTGAAGGTACAACTGTTGTCAAAAAAGGCAAACAAATGTCAGCCTGCATAAGAACTTAGATGGTGAATAGGAAATTTATCTATTTTCAAAATTAGATGACGGGTGTGACCCTTTCTGAAAGCACCATGACAATCAGCAGTGGCACCGAATCACTTACATGCAACGAAATCGTGCAGGAATAGAGGGAATTTGGAAATGGTAAAAGTGAGTAAAAACCTGGAAAACCTATAAGCAAAAACACTGATAAGACTGGGATTTATTCAGGGACAAGTGCAACAACAAAAAAACCCACAAAGATTAGACAACACGGTTCTCCTCTCATTAAAAACAAGGGACACAGGAAAAAATGCAAAGTCTACTAGTATAAGAAAAAAAAAGAATTCAAGTTTTCTGCTGCCAGAATCTGCCAAAGCCAACAGATTCTTTAGGTTAAAAAACAGAAGGTACATTTACATTTATACTGACAGTTTTCATAATTGATTTTGGAATGACTATTAAAACCCAGGCTTCATAGCTTGCTGCTTCTTTCTAAAACTAGAAGAAGTAATGTTGATAATGCTGAAGCCTACTGTATGCAATAAGAAACATAAATAGCCTCCTATCAATCTAATCATAAGGTCTTAGATTTTTCAGCATGAATTACCACACACTGGCCAATGTCAGTGGACCTCAGATCTCAGTCTATCAGTTGAGAAAATTTACACTAGAGCCTAAAACACTGCAGGGCCTCTGAAACACGTGAAAGAATTGTTCACCTTTTTCGCCTTCCTGGAGACAGCAAGTTTGAATGAAGCTTTCGTTCTTGTGATCCTGGAACTTGGATGTGTATGAAATCTCCTGCTTTATTAAAAAAAAAATAAAAGTGACAAAAGAATCAGACAGTCCAAATAACTGGAGAAAAAACAGGGATTTCTTTGAAACTTTGAAAGATCACAGTCCCAATTTTAGAAAACTGAAAACTACATACATAAATTCTTCACAGAAATAAGAAAGTTAAAGGAGAAAAAAAAAAAAAAAAAAAGAGTGCAACTTACTGTTGATCTTATTCTCCTGTGTTTGTGATGGGTGCACAAACAAGGTATTCAGTCTTGCCTGTGAAATGCTTTGACTGATTGCTGGTCTATGCAAAACTTGAGCAGATACAATAGAAGAGGAGCTCTGTTGTCCTGACTGTTGGGCTACAGACAACAATCCTGAGCTTGGAGGAGCTGACTGCTGGAGCATTCTCTGCCTCTTCATTTCAACAATTCCACTTCTTGTACGTGCTGGAGATAATAAAGACACATTAAGAATACATAACACAGGATTTTAAAAAGGTTGCCTGTTTTCCAAGCTGTAGTTCTCAGGTGTCATAATATTAGACCTCATTAAGGATGCTCCATTAAAACTTGTTTGTGCTTTAACATTTAATTTATGAAAACTCAACGAGCCATTAACTCTCACTTCTGCTAAGTGGAACCACCCCCATGCCACCTGATCCACTGAGTCTCAGGCCAAAGAACGCTCAATCCTTACATTGCACATTCTCTTTTCTCACACAGGTTCCACAAGAACTCTCTCTATATATGCATAAATAGACACACATATCAAGTACTATAAAGAGAAATATTTCTCTGCAAATAAAGTAACTTTTCCTCTTTGGGAGTTCAATTATCAGATTTTGCAATGAAGGAAACAATTCCACATAAAACAATTTATCTTTCCATATTTCAACTGTATGTCCGTATAAAATATTTACTTTGCAATTACGATTTTAAATTTCTCTTCTACAGAATTGAACCTTTGTGATATTTAGACTAATTATATCTTCACTTCCTCTATGAACCACAAATTAAGTCAACAACTTCAGTAGTGAAACAGCAGTTTTAAAACCTTTTTAACTATGTAAACTTCTAAAAAATTTTTTCATTAGAAGAGTGAAAATTTTCACTTTTGCTACCTAGCAAAAGGCAAGGTTTTTTATTTTCCTTTCTTAATCACCATAGCAATCCACAGACTGCCCTGAGTACAACAGACATATACTGAAGTCATGCAGTAGAGATCCAACAATGTTACAGGTCCCTCTTAAGAGCTCTTAAAAGACAATAATTGATTGCTGAATGATTCCTACATAGTTCCCACAACAGACTATTCGAACATAAAACCTATGGACCCCATGCAAATGATTCAGTTACTTACCCCTTTGATTAGCAGAAAATCCTGTGGAATTCTGCATGCTCCTATAAAATTAAGCAGGTAACATAAATAAAAGGCACCCAATGGAAATACCTAACTACATATTGCAGAAATATCATATAGCAAATTTCTGTTTGACACCGATTGAACATTACTTCATGAGGTTTTAAAAGTAGGTAAAAACACCCTGCAGATTCTTTAAATGAAGCCTACTGTTAAGTTTTTGATCACATAACCACAGTGGTATCAGTTTCTACACGTTTCTGAGAAGCAGTGAAAGATGGAAACCACAGTGACAGAAATAAGGAGAGTAGGTCAAAATGTAGCCTCGCTCCTAAGGAAAACTTTCATCATCTTGATTTCAGCTGTATTACCTGATCTGAGAAAGTGTATAATCTAGCTTTTTCCACAGAGATGACATCATTGCTGGAACTTCATTTGTTGTTTCTAAAATCAATCATAAAAAGTGACAGTCAAAATACTTATTTTGGGATAATTCAGGTAAGATTTAACTTTAGGCATCTAGTTGCCATCTTAATATTTTGTTAACTGGAGAGCCCAAAACCCTAATAATAAAAACAAAAACTAATAAACACCATAACACTGACTGATGAGACCATACAGCTACCATGAATAACTATTATAACTTTATAATTGCTCACTCTTTCTGCACACTTAATTGAATTTTTTGTGCTTCTTTTAGTAACATTTTCAAACATAAATGAAAATATGCCAACAATTCCAGTTGTCAATTCACTTTGCTCACCAAATTCTAAGTGTCAGTTAATTGCACAACAACAAGGCCTTCATCTTCTAACACAGACACAGTGTTGTTCAAAGGGGAAGTATAGACAGAAATACTGCCCCTACCTCAAGAGGCTCACAATTGTGACAAAAAAAAGAAAATAAAATTTTGCTTAAGACTTACCTTTTGTTTTCATGGCTACATATTCATTTAGAATAGTTGTCAAGTTTTTTCCACACAGGGACTGGAGGGAAAAAAAAAAGAAAAAAGAAAAAAAGAAAAAACAAAGCCACTGATTTTAGAATCTTCCTTAAAAACTACCTCAATAACTTATTCTCCATCCACAACACATTATATTTAAGCTTGCCGCAATCCTGGCACATTTAATTATCACAGTTCTTTAATGACTACACCATGGTGACCCTCAAACACAAGGAGCTACACATGGAACTGCTGATGCTGAATTGTCTCAAAATGGGTAGAGAATAATCTGTGAACCAAACTGTCATTCTGAACATTAAATATGAAGTACATGATCTCATGGCACACAACTGGTGCCACACAGATTTGTATGACTTCAACTTGACTTGTCTTTGTTCTGATGGAATAAAGCCAAAAAATAAGATTACAAGCATCTACAATGGATTACCAAATATCTACATTCCCAGGATATAAAACGCCTGAAAAAATATCTGAACAGACCTGTTGTCTAAGGTAAATTGTTAACTTTCATATCCTATTTGTTCTGTTGTTTTAGGTGAAACAGAAAATTAAGATTTTTAATTTACCATTATCACTTTCTGTACCTTTTTGGATTGTCTGTGTGTACAAATTTCCACAAGACATGATTGATAAAAACACTTTACTGAATTGTAGGTATTTTGAGCCGTAGTGAGATTTTTTTTTTCTTTACCCTAGAATACCATCACCTTTTTATGAAAAATAGAAAAAAAATGCACCTCTTGAGAAAAGGAAAAAAAAATTTAAAAATAAACAATATGGTGGAATCTTTTCTATTTATAATTGCTATATTCTATTGCTATTGCTATTTTCTATAATTGCTATTTTCTATTTATAATTGCTATTTGCTATAATTCTTCCTGGCCACACCTTGGGTTCAATTCCCTTCTCCACTACCCAAAAAATATGGATGACTAAACACTTGTAAATGAAATAAGAAGTTCCATGCTCTGTTCTCTGTTCCATGCACTGATCGGGAAAATTTCCACAAACTTTGAATTGCAGACAAAATCCCAGAATATATGACTGAGCGGCACATTAAAAGAACGGAATGCAAAACGGGCAGAAAACATACATATAAGTATCAAAAGGTTGATACGCAGCAATATTCAAAGCCTATCAATATTAAATAAAAAGCCTCATTCTGCACGTGCTAAAAACACGTGCATAAGGGTACCCTGTAGTTACGGTGGAATCTTTTCTATTTATAATTGCTATATTCTATTGCTATTGCTATTTTCTATAATTGCTATTTTCTATTTATAATTGCTATTTGCTATAATTCTTCCTGGCCACACCTTGGGTTCAATTCCCTTCTCCACTACCCAAAAAATATGGATGACTAAACACTTGTAAGAAATAAGAACTCATTCTGCACGTGCTAAAAACACGTGCATAAGGGTACCCTGTAGTTACATGCACCTATCTGCATACATAGCTGCACACTGCATTTATACCCACACACAAACTTCCACACACTTCCGTCTGGCACGAAGCAGATCATAGTGATCAAAGAGGAAGCTAAACCAGAACAGTTTTGTTTTCAACAAAATCTTGCTACACCCAAACGTTGAGGCACCTTGCCTAAACTAATATTTTCATGAAAGAGAGCCTTACTGACTGATGTATCTAAGAAAAATAAGTCATCTTCAATAAATAACTACAGCAATCTTGAAATCAGTAAAATCCTGGGAAACTGTTCCACATAGCAACCCTGAAAACTAAAATAAAACAGACTAAATTTAACAAGCTGAACAATTGGCATGTTTTACTCTTAGATATTTATTAGTAATAATAAATTTTGGAAATCAAGTAGAAAGGCAGCGTCTAACAGCACAGGATTCTGAGGAATACAGATGACTATCAAACTAAACGAGCACCATTTGAGAAGCAACTGTCACACTATTTATATATATCCTGACAAAAACGTTAAAGAGTTTCTTCAGAAAAAAAAAAAAAAAAAAGGCTTCTTTTCCAGTGATGTAACACAACTAAACTTCTGTGCTGCAAGTACAAACTTACCAGCAAGCAGGCTGGGATAAAGCCATCCTCCGTACAGTGCTCAGCATATTCTTTCAAGTCTGAGCTCTCTAAAATAAACTCACGGCAGGTAGCTAAAAGCTTTTCCTGTTGTAAATATCCTGCAACAAACCAGAGATACAATTTTGCTATTTTACTCATCATTTCTGCACATTGCTCTTGACAGTTATTGAAGCATTAACACAACCAGCTATAGGATATTAATATTGAAACAATTATGTAAGTAATGTATCACACACACACACACACACATATAGAGCAGATAAGGAAAATAAAATTATTTTGAAAGAACACTTATCTTGCAAAGTATTTCTTTACTAGTTAAAAACAGAAATAATAGATATTATTGACATTACTGGATTTGCAAACTATTTAAAAGTAAGACAATGTAAACATTTTCTGATTAATCTTTACTACACATAGCCTTGTACAGCCAAAATAGAAAAATGCCAGCCTCAAGTCAAAAACAAACTCACACATGGGTTTTAACTATAAAACATCTAGTTATAATTAAGCGGAAATTTATTGTACTTCACTAGTAAAATGCACTGCTACTCAACAACAGCCCTCTGCACGTTTTCTAATTTCAGAAAAAAATAGAACACGCATTTAAACAATGAATTAGATTTCTTTAAAAAATAATATTATACAAATAATATTTTTAGAGAAAAGGTTTTTTTCCTTTTTCCCTCCCTCCTTCCAATTTACTGCAATTTGTATTTTTAGCATATATACTAGCTTGTATTTCATACATCTACCCTGAGACTTGGTAATTTTCTTACCAGGAACTGTACTGAAAAAGTGTGTTTTTCCAAAATTCCAACCCTCAGCAAATATGCCCCTTTAAGCCATTTTAAGCCCTGCTTTAATCTTCAAATACTCTGAACACTAAAAGGTGAAGCTAGATCAATCTGCATAAAGGATTAGAGAACAAAGAGCCATAAAAGAAAACATGGTGTCTTTTCTCTCTTGCCTGCAGCAGAACTGAACATGCAATGCTTTAAAGAAAAATTAAAACACACACCTAATAATACAACGCTAAACATCAGGATATACACTTACATCCCCAAATGGACTGCCTCAGTTCAGGAAAGTGCACAGAAAAACCTTGCCTTAAGTTTGTATGAAGACATCATTATTTTATCAGATCAAGTACAGCTAGAAAAAGTAGCTCAGTTTTCAGACTCAACAGCCCTAGTTCAAATCTCCGGCAAATAAACTTCAAAATTAAACACAGCTTGGGAACAACCACTGTGAGTTTAACTAGCATGAATGAGCTAGCCCATACAAGAGAAAAATGTAGCTAGCACCTGCAGAATGGAGAGGGCTGCCATTCCGTTTCCTGTGAAGTAAGGTGCTCCAAAGTGAAAAAATACCAGTATTAAGATTTCCTGGCAGATTGAACTTAAATTGTTTGCACACATACATTGTAATCATGTAGCTATATGCAATCTGTAATGTTGACTACCACAAACAAGGAAGAGACACAAAAGGAGGAGCGTCAGCTGAACTGGGAATTATTCAGTATTCTGTTCTATTTTAGTACATGTGAGGACATGTCTGACTTACAGTATTTCCTCACTCTTTAATTAGAAAATGATAAATTTGCTTGTACCTTTTTCTATAGGCCAGCTCATCTCATTCTTTCTTAAATTAACACCCACCAGTGCTCACAGCACCAAAGACTTTGCTAGAGAAAAACGAACATGGTAGAGCAGCTGTGCCAGGAAGCCTGTTTATCTGCTCACAGTTTGGAGTCCTCATAGAGGAGCAATCGCTGTGAGGAGGCTGTCAGAAACACCCCTTGTCGACAGCCTAAGAAGCTCGAAGTTTTTTTGGAGTAATGTGTGCACCAAGTCAGGACAGGCACAAGCCAGGAGGAAGCAGCCTCAGCTCACACGAGATGGCCAAGGCTTTCTATTGAGTACACATGTGGGATGAGCTTCTTACTCACAAAGAGAAACACAGTTTTATAGAAAAGATACAGAAAGCATTTAATGCCCAAGAAAATATAACCCCTGCACAAGTTTAAGGGGGTTCTTTTACCATGCATGCAGTTTGAAAAAAAACCCTGAAAAAAGTCCTCTGGCTTTGCAATAATAAAAGCAACGTTTCCCTTATTGTCCCAAATCCTCAGCCAGCATCAGCAAGCATTTCTGGGTGATATTCAAGAATAAATGCAGCCAGAGGCAGAATAAAGCTTCAGCCTCAAAGGTTTCCGACTGGTGAAACCCGCCCACCTGAAAGAAGCATCTTACAGAAGGAAAAAAAAAAAAAACTGCGGGGAGACCTGCGAGGCCCAGCACCCGCGCACAGGGGGGCTATTAAATACCGGGCCTTATTTCTGATTACTGCCCATTTACTCTCGCCTCCAGCGGTGCAAACACGGGGGCCTTC